ACGGTTAGGAGAGGGGCGATATACATTATCTCCCAATACTGAAATTCTAGAATAATTCTGACTGTCTCAAAAGAGTGGTCTGGATAATCTGCAGAGTTCGAAGAGAAAATCTCGATATTTCATTATAGATTTACCTCCGCTTTTCGGACGAAATTCGTCTCACCCTGAGCTGAAATCTCCACGACAAATATATGGTCGAGAAGAACTAGATACATCAGTCTTATTAGTTTGCATGAGAAAACTGATAAACCTACATTTATTTCTGCTGTTTCCTGAAAATTTATTTTTAGTTGAAGAGGTGCTATATTCAATCAGTAGATATCTAATGTACTGATGAAGAATTGAAAAAAAAAAGATATGCAAAACTGATTTGTTTATATAAATATTAAATATATTGTTCGAACAACATTAATAATCCTGTTCCGGCTACAAAAACATTCGGAACTGTTTCTGAGGACTTCGATGTAAAAGACTTGATTTGACTAGTTAGTTACCTGAAGCATTTCTTGCACATTATAATTAGTCTTTACACCATAAAGTTCAAATTATTAGTTCAGGAGTTATTGAAAAATTGAAACTATCGCCCGATATGATGAATTCATGCGGCATCACAAATCGATGAGGCACGTGTAATGAAGAAAGGTTGCAATTGCGCTGGTATCGTTTGATGTAGTGAATTACATTGAAGATTAAATTCGAATTTTTATTTTTGTCTTTAGGTACATACGTACTTACCTATTCTAAAATCGATAATTGTGAATATTCTTTTTCATGTCGATTTTGTCGAAGCTCATTATTATAAATTACAAGAATAAACTAACGAGTTACTAGTTATCACTGCGATTTTCCCTAGGCTACCAAGCTCTAATAACTAGAAAAGCGTCATCCGCCTGATTAGGGACCCAGAAATCACATGTAATTTTGTTAGCCTGCAAAATCAAAAGAAGGGGACTTGCCTCTTTCTGTAAATACTTTCACCCAAAGCGATATATGTTTGAAGTATGCGCCAAAATACAGCTGTTCATTGCTTCCGTGTTCAAATGAACCCATATTGAACTACAATTATAAAGAGCTGTTCAAAATACACTTATCTCCAGATATATGATCGCATGCTGATTCCTTGAGTTTTATCTTTTTCAAATTGTGAAAGGTGACAATTCCCACTAAGATCCGTAGAAAAATCAAAAGAAAATGTACCTACTTCCTTTCTCATTACTGTTGACAAAACCGTTCAGAGTCATTCCGATTGTTTCAACATGTGAAAAGATCACAATGAAATAAATCCTGGCTTGCACAATTGACAAGTTGTAGACAATTCAGTGCAGTGCAGCATAAATTGTACGTAATAAATTTTCAGCAGTGCCCATGGTCAGACCCTTCTGGCGCCATCCATACACATGTCTTAAGAGTTCCCACATCACTAAACCACCACTTGAGAAGGCTAGATAAATGCTACTCTAATAAACATACATCAGTTATTTTTCCTTATCTTGTTTCAAAAGCTTATAACGAAGTCTTTTAACTTTACGGACATGCTCTCTTCAGTTCCAATATACAGAACGATTCGGAAATGAAAGGTTATTGAAAGGTTTATATGAAAAATAATGAATTTTGTTTATTTCAGAAGCCCAAAAATCTAGGCTCCTGTTAACTGAGATGTTACAGAGCAAATTAACAATTACTGATAAATAGGTGAATGTAAAAATTGGAGTTGACTTAGTCAAATGGCATAGAGTTTAATATAATTTCTTACAATGTAAATACATATTTTCATAGGAAATGAAATAACTTTCATTTCAATGGAAAAATTGAGAAACTTATTTGAATATAGAACATAAAAATAAGGGCAAAAACATTCATTGCATCTCTCTGCATGTACCTATGTATGTTTGTATGTCTGTCTGAACGTGATAAACTCAAAAAGTAATGAGCGGATTTTCATACGGTTTTTACCAATGGACGGAGTGATTCAAAAGGAAGGTTTATGTGTAATTGTGTTGAATATGACGATGTTATCAGTGACAAGTCGGGGCGGTGGTGGTATCCTGCGACGTCTCCCTTTGAGATATACAGGGTGTTTCCTAACTACGGTACGAAACTGCTACTATCTTTATTCCGGTTTGAATGCCGTCGTAGTTTGGGACTGCATTTTAACGTTTCGCCGGCTCGAGTGGCTGGCTTCTTAAGAGGTTTATTCATCTTGATGATTTACCGATGATTGGTGATCTCTAGTTCATATTTATATTGACTCAGGTAGTCCGCCTCTCTTGTTGATGCGTTGCTATTGGCCGAAGTGTTATTACCTGGAATGACGTTACATTGCATTGCGCTGTTGCCAATTCAGCATCTTTTAGTATGGGATTCCAAATCCGGTTAAACGTTACCGCCTCCTCTTTTCTGTTGTAGTTTTCCGTATTTTTATGGATTTCTATGGCTTCCCGTACAAGCCAACTGTGGTATCACATCTTCAAACAGTATCGTGTGATCACCTTCGCTAAGTGCGTGTTCCGCTATTGCCGATTTGTCTATTTGACCTAATCTACAGTTTCTTCGATGTTCATGCCCAGTTAGGAATTGTGTGAGAAAGTAATTCACCTCTCCCCATTTTCTGTCCATCCATGATTATGTGTCTCTTATCAGTCTTCTTGTCCAGTTGGCCTTTTCATTGTCTATCTTTAAAGATTACTGCCATTTTTCGTTAATTTGTGACCTTGCAAACCTTTTTGGTACGTTGTTTTGTACCATTGTTCTCTTCCACCAGCAGATCTATTGGGGGATCTGGCTATCTTCCATTCTTTGGAGAATTGTCCTGTTGTTAATAGGAGGTTCATTATTCTCAGACATAGTTCCGGGTGTGCCTTAACGACAAATTTGATGACTTTAGCTGGGGGTTCATCCGAACCAGGGGTTTTTTTCTCTCTCAGTCTTTTGTTGGCTTTCATGAGTTCATCCCTTGTGGGTGGTATCTCCTCTGGTGCCGTTGGTAGTCTGTCCCAGTTTTTGATTTGGTGAGATGGAAACAACGTGTTTGTAAATTCCATTTGTTTTTCTTCGGTTAGTCCAATCGGTTGTTTGACTCTAACCTTGTTGGTTACTATTTGGTAATCTTTTTCCCCAGATATCCGCATCTACTTCTCCTATAAGTGTTTTCAACGCATTCTGTTTGGCTTCTATTATTGCTTTCTTCAGATTATTTCTGCTTTCTTTATATTCGTCTTGACTTAGTCTTTACTGTAGTGCATCATTCCCTCTGTTCGATCCTACCAATTTCCTTCTAGCTTGAGCACATGACTTACGTTTTCCTGTCTACCACTGGAGTAGTCCTGGGAATTGTTTTGTCACAACTCCAGTGATAGTTGCATCTGTTGATGGGAGCTCCCAGGGTTTATAAATCATTGAAACGTATTTGAAAAATTCGATAACGTAAGATCGGCTTGGATATCATGCATCAATTAGAAATCTTATTCTTAAGAAAAGTCGTCAACGTCATTTTCAAATCCCTATCAAGGCATTTATGAATCTTATATTTCTCATTATTGAAAATTTGCCGAGATTATAAATCTTAAATTATAAATGTTAAAGCTGGAAATGTATTTATAATTTGCATAACTTATAATCATCGGAAATATCATTTTTCAATTCAAGGGCCTCATAAAGGTCTGCCACCCGAAACCTACCGTATGCTATTCTTCTGAAAATTAGTTTATATTTACCTGCCGCCTACCATACTAAGTTTATGTTATGTTTTAAAAAAGTTCGTGTTAATATGATTCATAATATGTATCTTGAGTTCCGAACCAGAAATCCAATTAGTTCATTGAAAACAATTTCCTTCTAATTTAGATAACTCTGAGTGTTTAGGTATTTATTGAAACACTTGTAAACTACTTAGCCGAAAGATAAAATACAAAAAATAACATACGTAGTGTTATAAATAGGGTTTTTTATATGATTCTTTCGGCTTTCGATTGCCGAATTCATAAAGGCTATCAGTATAGACGAATTCGTTGTCTGACTCATGTAGGTACTTTACTTTTATGGTTTTGATTTTCAGCGGGACCACTTCATTTATACGCTACTTTACACGAGGTGAAATTTATCGAATTTAAAAAAGATCAAATGTAAACACATTTTTTCGCTCTTTAGGAACTTCATGGGATTTGTAGTATTGTGAAAAAACTAATACTAAGACATAATAAAGTAATAAATGATAAACGTAGGAATTGTAATACATTTTTAAATTAACTTCAAAAGCAGTTATTGAAGCAAACATTTATTTACCATTATAACAAATTACTACGTATTGTTTTACTTTTTTTGTCTTTGGAGATATAAGCTTATAGGAATTCAGTATTATTTACATACCACATTGAATTGGTATCATCTGTTAACATGGTAAATGATGCATGAAACTCTATTTTGCTGAGATCATCCAGATAAATGAGGAAAAGAATTGGCTCAAGACCTGAACTGTGGGGGACGCCACATACAATATTTGAAGGATCAGAGTATTTGTTGAATTCAACAATCTGAGTTCTGTTGGAGATGCAAGCTAGTGTAATTATAAATATTCCACGTTGACTAATTTTCGTCCTATTTTGGTAGTTTCTCCATTTTAGTGAAGAATTTTCTGTTTGCTTCATGTTGGGAAAAGTATTTTTTGTGAAGAATAGCAAAAAAATTGTTCTGAATAAGTTTAAAATAGGTATCAGTAGATACATATTCATAACATATAACCAGACGGGATGCAGGAACACAAAACTTATATTTAGTTATCGTTTGGTTTTATATACTCTATCAATTAAAAATATTCGAGACAGTATATTTACCTTTTTCCCTCTTCAATTTTCCCTGTGTTACTCTTTCATCCTAGATTTAACCTATATCTTTCAACGTGTAGAAATCAATTAATTCATGACGAGAAACTTCTGAGATAAGGATAACATTGATTAAAACGTGATAGATTAGAATTCAGGATTCACAAATCGACGGGGGTTGTTGTCGTGTAGACTCCCCATGGATCTTGACGCATCGAGGATTGTATAAAATCCAGTGAAATCCTTCAGGATCTGCAGAATCAAACCATGGATAGAATCGTTCTTGTGTCTTGTGTTGTGATCCTCATCGGCAACTTTTGTTTTGAGTTGATACTCGCTAGTCAAAGGGTGAGTGTGTTTTTCAAAATAAGCAATATGTAACATTTGCAAATTTGATTGTACAAACTTGTTTCTGCAAGACATAGTCGAACTTGCACAAACCTTCTGTTACTTAGAATAACACTTCCAATAATTATAGTAAAAATGCAAAAATAAATGAATAAACACAATCAGGTTTTCACCTGAGAAGCCAATTTCAGGTGATTTCTGAATGTTTATATTCAATCTGAGAAATTAATTCGAAAAACAGATTTCGATGATTTCTGAAAAATAGTAGAAATATTGATTCCGACATATACGTAGTCTGTTCAAAAAATAAGGTGAATATTCAAATTTCGCGGGCTACGTACATTCGATTAGCGATTTTTTCATGTTGGTATACTCGCCTCGAACATATGTTCACAGTTGCAGCTGTTTAGCATGTTCATTTTGTTGGTGAGAAGCATAAAAGTTAGAAGTGTTTGCGTGTGCGGTGATTTTCTGCTATCGAAGAAAGTGGATCAAAGATTTTGGATAAAATTTAGTGTAGTAATGGAATTGAGTGCCCATAAACACTTGAATTGTTGACAGTGATTGTACTCTGAGTTAATAGAATGTTTACAAGTGGCTCAGGCCATGCAATTTTTCGTGAATTTTGGGCATGACGCGTGTGGCAGCAAAGTTCGTTTCAAAATTACTGAATTTTGACCAAAAAAACTGTGAGCATCGCCCAGGAATTGTTGAATGACATCAATGGCGATCCAGATTTGCTTATAACGGTCATAATTGGTGACGAATCATGGGTATATGGTAATGACATCGAAGCCAAAGTCCAATCTTCCCAATAGAAGAGCCCAGAAGAGCCAAAACCAAAAAAGCACGCCAAGTTCAATCAAATATCTAGGTTTTGCTCACTGTTTTCTTCGATTACCGTGGCGTAGTGCATCAGGAGTTCTTGTCACATGGTCATACGATCGACGAGGAGTATTATCTTGAAGTAATGCGCCGCTTCCGAAAAGCAATACGAAGAAAACGTCCGGTATTGTGAAATAACAATGCATGGCTTTCGCATCACGGTACATCTTAGCCGGTAGTGCACCTGCTCACTCGTCATTGTTTGTTACTTACTGATTTTTTAGTCAAAAACAACACCATAGCCACCGTATTCACCAGAATTGGCTTCCTGGGACTTTTTTAACAGACAGCGTATATTCATGATTTTTCATGATTATACATAATATTTCATTGTGACAAACATGTACTGCGAAATTTAATGGCAAATCAGATATTACAACATATTGCTCCGCACACACTTATTGAATTGATGTATTATTTATTTATGTCCCTTCAAAAACAGATTGTATTGTATTCTTTTGTGATACAAAGTACATAATGATAATAATAAAAATAATAATAATAATTTATTGGTATGTCAAAATGGTTGTCCGATTATTGGAGTCCTTGGTGGAATGATGTCCTCTCTGTACTCTAGAATCTTAAAATCATACCGGCTTGCCGGACAGATGCAGAAGGCTGCCATTTTTGGCTCACTGCGCTTGTTCAGGGCACATGATTCTCGGGCCTAATGATCACTCACCCCACGGTAAGGGGTAAGTCCCCGAAGTCCCGATTGTATCGGGGCTTCGGGGAATAGGGCCTGATCAGCGCAAAATACGGTATAATAATAATTTATTGGAACTATTTGTTCCCCACCTTCAGGCTCATTCAAGCTAATAAGCCTGATGTAGTCCTTCTCGGCCACCAGAGCAAAACGATACTTGTCGTGAAGTTTTCAGCTCCTGTCGAGACAAATATTGTCCAAGAAGAGGAAGAAAAACGGATGAAATATCGAGATTTCCCATTGAACTACGCAGACTATATCCAGACCACTCTGTCAAGATGGTTGTTCTGATTATTGCAGTCCTTGGTGGAATGATACCCTCTCGAATCTCAAAATTATACCGGCTTGTGGCACTAAGGCAGACATCTTAGCCGGAGATATGCAGAAAGCTGTCATTCTTGGCTCACTGCGCTTGCTCAGTGCACATGATTCTCGGACCCAATGCTCACTTATTCCACAGTGGAGTCCTTGGTGGAATGATGCCCTCTCTACTCTCGAATCTTAAAATCATACCGGCCTGCTGCACTAAGGCAGAAATCTTAGCCGGACAGATGCAGAAAGCTGTAATTCTTGGCTCACTGCGCTTGCTCATTGCACATGATTTTCAGACCCAATGATCACTTATCCCACAGTGTGGGGAGTGGTCGTTGGTTAATAATGCTGGCGCGCCCTCCCGAATGTATCGGGGCTTCGGGAGATAGTGCCTGACCAGCGGTAACTTGGGTTAAAAAAATAATAATGATATTGTCTTTAATATTTCATGAACAAAGAAATTCAACATAATCAAACTAGCAAGTAAAATAAAGGACGAAGTTCATCGTCCGTAATGCAATACTCTTCAAATAGTGATATTCATAGTCGAAAAACTTACATATCTTATGTTTGAAGAGGCAATAAATTGGGTGATAGGTTAGAAGAGACCACCTTTAGCTCCCTAAAATCAGAAACGGATCAGCATTATGTTGAACTTTACACCTTTTCACTGAAGCCGATTCATCTGAAATTAACAGTCCTATTCTATTTGGTTCGAAAGAACCTTTTATATTTGAAATTATCAAAAAGCGTAAAAGTGTTATCCACTGCTTTCGGAAAGCCCAAAGCAATGAAGTTTAACGAATTTATCTCCGATTCATATGGAATCAAGGCATGTATTCCACAGGATGAGGATTTGAGGACCCTGGTGGAGACTGGTACATCACAAACGGTGCGTGGTATGGCGGAAGAAGTGGGCGTCAGTTCCTATGCAGTTTTTGATGGTATAAAACGTATTGGAGAGATACAAAAGTTCGAAAACTGGGTGCCCCACGATTTAAACCATCGACAGAAATTGTCACGTTTCGAAGTCCGTTCTTCTTTGCTTTTGCGCAACTAATACTATCATTTTTTTAATCGGATCGTCACGTGTGATGAAAAGTGAATGCCCTACGACAACAAGAGACGTTCAAAACAGTGGTTGGTTACCGATGAGCCATCCAGTCACTTCCCAGAGATGAAAATCCACCAAAAAAAGATCATGGTTACTGCATGGTAGTCAGCGGCTGGTGTGCCTCACTATAATTTTCTGCAACCGGGTCAAACCATCACAGCAGAGAAAATCAACGAAATGTACCGAAAATTGCGTCAGCAACAGCCGGCACTGGTCAACAGAAGAGGTGCGATCCTGCTCCACGACAACGCCTGCCCGCACGTTTCACAAATCACCGTCCTAAAATTAAACTAATTGAGCGTCAAACTTCTGCCTCACTCACCATACTCCCCAGGCCTTTCGCCAACCAACTTTTCAAGCACTTTAATAACTTTCTCTCCGGTATAACCTTCGCTAATCAGAACCAGCCAAAAACGGCCTTCGTCGACTTTATCAAATTCCGAGCACACAATTAATATGCTGACGTAATTAGTCGACTTGTGTTACGTTGGCGAAAGTGCACTGATTGAAATGGAGCCTATTTCGATTAAATTAAATGAGTATTCACTGAAATATAACATTTTGAGGAGACTCATAAAAACGGACAAAACTTTTGAAACAACCTAACAGTTACATGCAGAGTTAAACTATAACAGAAAAAAATGTATATATGTATGTTCTGAAACCCGAGCGAAGCCGAATTGGGTCGCTCATAGTTTATGAAAACAAAAAAACCTCTGGAAAAATTCATCAAGATTGGTCTATTTTAAGACATTTATTTATACATACTTCAAAGTAAATTACTAAACAATTGTTAGGATTCAGCAGGGATGACCAAAGATCTGATAATAATTCCCTTGTTGACTATCATTGCCATCTAACTATCAAATGTCATCAATTAAACTTCTAGATAGATTAGACTTTTTTTAATAGAAAGGGTCTGTGAAGATTTTTCTACCATAACAATGATTTTGGTAGATGTGCCTGATCCTTTATAATAGGTACGTAATTTGAATGCTGACTTGACAATAGTAATCAGATAAATATTTAATTTTTGAATGAGATGAGTCTCAAAAATTTTTTCTAGTAGTTTCTAAAGGCTTTAGGTGAGTTTTAACTACCCGGCCTCATTCCAGACTAACGTATGTACGTTATTTCAGTATAATTTTTTCTAACTATTATTCAAAGTTTCTTTATCACTTTTGGAATATGATGATCTCTACTGAAAGTACAATCAATATTGATTTCTGAATATTTGAATTTTTCTATAAGTTGACAAAAAAACAGATACTTTGAACGTTGACTTCTAAATTTAGACTCATGAAAGATAAATTCATGTACTTAGTTTTCTAGATACTTCACTGTGAGAATCCTGTAATCTAACTAGTTCTTTATCGATTCAAGGCTTGTTTCAGTTTTTCTATTGGGAGAATTATAATTCTTGCCCAGAAATAAACGACATGTTATAAAACCCTATAATACCACCGATCATTCTAAGAGAGAACATTTCATTAACATGTATATATTGAATAGTAAGGAACCAAGAATGGTGTTCTGAGAAACAATGCTTTTCCACATATTTTGAGTCTGAACATCACAAGGGTCACGTAATTATTGGTTGATTTGATGTAATTAAAAAATCAATTATTCTCGAAGGTTTACAAATATATTAATTTGAAAAAAATTGACATTGACAACGGTAAAATTTTGCCACGTTCAGTTACGTATCTAAATTACCTTTTTGAACTTCTTCTTTGAGGTTTATATCTCATTCATTGATCATTACTCTATTAAGATGTGATTTTTTTCAAAAGATCTTAGAGATGGTGAGGTGAATTATTTGATTATTTTACGAACTATGTTAAGTTACAACTTGATTTTCACTTTTAAGGGAAACGCAGCAACTTCATCCCAAGGCTTGGACGAAACGTTGAAGATGACTTTTCAGGAAGTGAGAAATGGTTGCAAGACAGTGACGGTTCGGCGGAATACATGATCCAAAGATCTCCACCCTTTGCGCCACGTCTAGGTCGAAGGTCTTCTCCATATTCTCCACGATTAGGTAGGGATATGTAATCTGACCTATTCAATATTATTAAAAGAGATACAGGTTACCTACATACACTTCAAGATTACTTTGATGATGAAATAATGATTTCAGAAGTATGTATAATTCACTAGACATGTTTTTGTTATTGATGAGTTATTTATGTTTATTTGCAAAAAAACAAATATACTTTTTGCAATGAATATTTATATATGTATATTTTAAAGTTAGTTTGTGTAACTATTATATACAGAAATAGTAATTGAATTGAGAGTACAACTCTAGTAGAATAATGGAGGAAATTTCAAATCACCGCTGTAAAGTTGTCAGAGTCACTGTCTACGAAAGGTAGTCAATAAGACGATTTGCTCGACTTTATTTAGTTGAGAAACTTCAGCATGATGTTTGGATGATGAGCTATACATGTGACCACTGATGAAAGTGCCTCCTAGCAAGGATAATAATAACTAGTAACATATCAATAGCTATCAATATTCTTATTTGTGATGCGATTCCTCGCCATGAACTTGCATATATTACTTCTTTAACATTTTTCATTGGACGTTTTTACTGAAGTCTAATACGTTTTTTGAGACAAATTAATACGACCTATCGATTTGATTCAGTTTAGTTCAAAGTAGAATAATTATATTTATTATTTGAATTCTGAAATAATATTTCACTTTCCAGTTCGATGGATCGGTAGAAACTAAAATGAAAGAAGAGGAGGAAAGTAAAATGTCTCCAGCATGGTTTAGTCCACGATTGGGAAGAAGAAAACGAAATTCAAAAGAAGAGACTTATAGATCAAGTGAACAAGAATTAGCAGATTTACTGGAGGCTTTTGAGGACTCACCCCTTGCCTTTATAGCAGTAAACGGCAACGAAAAGTTCATCTGCAAAAATATACCCGGTAAGTTGTCAAATATCGATTGGAATCTGTCAGTTGTCAGCTGTCTATACATATTCTTGACTTCCGTAACTCCCTCTGAAGTCTTCTCTGAATCTAAAAATCCAGTACTTGCACTTGTCACTTGTCGTTTTGCCAACAAAGAGTTTTATATTCGGATAAAAACCTGGTTGTACTTTTTGACCCTTTGCATAAAAAATATTTGTCTGTATCATGACATTCTAGAAGCCATTTATCAATGACACTGAACTGATGTTGAAATGCGAGCACGTGGAGTCAATAATAGATCGCCTGGAGCTCCAATATCATCCAGTTACCTGCTTGCAGTGACAGTTGCAGACAGAGATAGAAAACGAATTCTGATTAGGTGGTCGATGCCAAAGCCTTCGTAAGGGAAGTCGACATCGCCTTTTTTTCTCAGGGTTGCCTGTCTTTGTTAGGGACAGATCTCCAAGGGGGAGTGCTGCAAGCGATTTAATCGGATCACACCATATACGAGTAGCGATCATATATAGGCATAACTTTAAGCTTTACGAAACAAACACCAAAAACCCGGACTACAAGAAAATTTTCAGACCTCTGGAAAAATTCATCAAGATTGGTCTATTTTAAGACATTTATTTATACATACTTCAAAGTAAATTACTAAACAATTGTTAGGATTCAGCAGATGTGAATTATGACAAAAAATTTAGGCGCATTCGCTCCATAGAAGTAAAAAGTGAGTGAAGGCTAGTCGTGTTTGAATAGACAAAACTTACTACCCCGTCGCGTTTTCAGACGTAGTGAAAGTTGTTTTATGGCCATATGGCCATACCTCTTCAAAGCCATTGTTTCCTATTGCACAGTTCGTTCCCAAACGATCGACAAACCTCAAAAGTTTCAACTTGCATGTGCTGACAAAATTGTTTAGACTTTCGCGGCTGAGGTTTTCAGTGTCACTGTTTTTTGAGTTTGAAAGCCGTGGATTTTTGGAATTTCTTCCTGACGTTTCGCTGGCGCGAGTGGCTAGCTTCTTTAGAGGTTTAACCATCATGGCTTGCTGTACGATGACTACCCTTTTAGGCTTCGTAAAGAGTATTTATGCCTTGTCAGGTCATCAGTGGAGGTTCACTTGAGGTTAAGTGGAAGAGCAATTGAATGATGACTTGTCATCATACTTGCTAAACGTAACTCATCCACAATTTCAAAGAAAGCAGAAATCGAAATCCCCTTGCCATCTCCCGTAAATTTCTGAAGATTCCATTTATGTGGTGGTATCATCTTACTTACCGTATTCAGAATGGGATCCGGATCTATGGAAATAGAAGACCTAGCAGCTGTGTTGACGTTCGCATTGAAAGATAGCATCTCAAGTCTTGTCTGAAGCTGATTGAGGGCAGCCGGAGCATGCGCAGCCGTAGTTAGGTGAGGATCCACTCTATCTAATTTCTCATTGAAATCACTTAACAAGGTTAGGGCAGTTGCCACTAATTCAGCCTTACAGTTTATTTTCACAGAATCTTCCCCAGGATCCATTCTTTCTATTCTTCCCAGAACATGTGCCAATTTTGCTTGCAATTTCATCGCTTCGCTAGAAGATCTTAGTCCACTCAATGTACCTAGTAGTAGTCCAATTTCATCGAACTTTCCCTTGACTGCCAGTTCATCTTCCCCAAAAGAATATGGTTGTGCAGGATATGACAGGCTGTCCCCACTTTCTTCCATCATCGAAGAAAATATATCCGAAAATACACTATAGATCACAAAGTTTATATTTGACTACGTATTAACTACCACTTGAACTATTATTGATTACCTGATACTACCTATACTAGTATATCCTCAACAAAATCTGAAATAAAAACAATAACAACTTTTCCCTCAAATATACATCATATATCCTATTCGTATACTAGCTTTTTTTTCCAAGACGGCCCCACGTTAGGCGCCAAAAATGTAACCGCTTCACTGCCCACAATTGGTGGGCTGTCACGATGACAGTTAGGGCATACCGATTCACTACAGAGGAGAAGGAGTGAGTTCGTCGAAGTAATTTTTTTTCTCGGCGCCAGGTAAATTGAGATGCCAAAGTATCCACAGTTACGCTCTAATCAT